GCTTAGCTCATTAAGTCTACTCAGTCAAACCAAGTCAACAACTAAATCCTAACATCCTTCCGTAAACAAAACTTCCTATGAGTTGTGTTTCCTTAGTCAACCAGGTCCACTACTAAATCCTAACATCTTCCCGTAAATCCTCAAATAGTACAGTCTGCAACAAAAAAGGAGCTGAAACTTCAGCTTGTTGAGACTGAACATGTCTACTAATATCATAGCTGCTAAAACTTCTTGTACTCATATTAGCAAAGAAAATCTGAATTCTGAAAATGAAACAATTTCAGGTAAAGTCTCAAAAACTAAAATCTGAAGCAGAGTCAAGAATACTGAACCAATTCTAGCCAACTAAAAACTGAACCATTTCCAGTCGACTGAAAAATTTCTGAGAAACTGAACCAATTCCAGACAAAACCATGCCAACTGCAAAATTGAACCAATTCTAGACAAAACCAATTATCAACCAACTTTTCAGCCAATTATCAATCAACTTTCCAACCAAAACAATCATCATGCAACTTTTGAAAAAAACAAAACCAATTCTAGCTGAGAAAAACATCATAATCAATCACCATTCCATCCCAAAATAGTCATCAAGGAAAAACATCAGAATCAATCAACTTCCCAGCCAAAACAATCATCAAGGAAAAATCATAAGCAATCAACTTTCCAGCCAAAACAATCATCAAATAACCATCAGAATCGATTATGTGGCTATACAAACTTCAATAAATGGTGTGACAATCAATTTCTCTCAAAGAACTGCAAATCTGGATAATGAAAGTGCTTTGGTGAAGATGTCAGCCTTTTGATACTCAGTGGGAACATATTGCACTTTAAGTCTATTGTTTGTGACTTGTTCACGCACATAATGAGCATCCAATTCAATGGGCTTGGTCCTGCAATGAAAAACTGGATTACAAGCAAGAGAACCTGCACTCTAGTTATCACACCAAATGACAAGAACTTCAGGGAGAATGAGACCAATTTCAGAAAATAGGCTGCTAAACCAAGCAAGTTCGGTTGAGCCTTGTGCAAGAGCCCTATATTCTGCTTCTGTGGATGATAAAGCCACAACCTTCTGCTTCCTAGAATACCACTGAATCAGATTGTTTCCCAGAAAAACACAGCAACCACTGGTGAACCTTCTGTCCTGGACGCTATTAGCCCAATCAACATCTGTATAGCATGCCAACTTAAGTCTATGACTGGGGAAAAACTGAAGGCCATAATTGGAAGTACCCTTGAGATATCTAAGCAACCTTTTATAGGCTTGCCTATGTAATGCAGTGGGAGTTTTCAGAAATTGACTCAACTTATTCATGGCATAAGAGATATCTGGTCTAGACCATGTCAAATACTGTAATGCACCAACTGTACTCCTATAGAGAGCTGAATTTTCAAATGGTTCATTGTCTTCAAGGGTGAGTTTGGTCCCAACTGCCATTGGAGTGGAGCAAGGCTTGCTATCAAGCATGTTAGTTTTAACCAGCAAGTCTTTGGCATATTTTTTCTGTGTCATATAAAGGTCTGACTCTCTTCTTGTCACTTCAAAACCCAGGAAGTATTTGAGTGATCCTAATGCTTTTAAAGCAAATTAAGTGTTTAAATCAGTGACAATTTGCTGAACTAAGCTGGAATCATTGCCTGTGAGTAATATATCATCAACATACACCGATACGTACATCACCTTCTCATCCTTTTGATAAATAAATAAACTAGGATCTGCCAAGGAATGACTAAAACCCCAACCAAGAAAGTCTTTCTTTAATTTATCAAACCAAGCTCTTGGTGCCTGGTAGCGTGCCGAATGCTCCAAATTAATAACCTTACTAACCTAACTACTAAATTGCATATAGGGTAAGCAAGGGTCGATCCCACAGGGAATGATTCGATTAATTCCTATATTCTGACCAATAACCACAACGAAAACAACAAAAAAATAAAATAAAATAAAATAAAATCCTAAACAGTAAACATGACAACAAAATAATGAAAGGGGTTGTAGACAATGCAATCTAAAGTGAAACGAATAAATCTCCAATGGTAGAAAATATCAGATTAAAAACAACCAGTTCTTGATTCAAGATCCACCTAAACATGCATTGGACATGAACTAACCGTAACATTATTCTATCTCGTTATTATGGAATTACTGACCCTAGGAAACAACAAGCTCTATTACCCGAATTTTCCCTTAATAGTCACTACTGAAATAAGCTCTTCAATTAGATCCTAACCTTTGAACAACCTAGAATAAGCTCTCTAAGTTTAATTCAATGGCAGCCTTAAGAATTAGGAAAATAGATCAATCCAAGCAATAATCACGCAAGATCGAATTATTTAACTTAGGTTATGTTATTCAAGGTGACAGATTGAGAACTTGTCTGTAATCATCTATCATCATGTGTTACTTATTGAATAGAAAGAGGACAATTACGTATTACAATTCCTAATTCTAACAGATAAAATTCCGATTAAATAATTTAGCAGGCCATTACTAAATCACCCAAACAAAATTCATAAACAATTAAAACAGAATAACATAAAAAATTCCAATAAGAATGAGACTAAGAACAATGTTACTGAAGCTAAGTTACACCAATGACATGAATTCAGGCTTTAAAATCCCCTTGAACTGAAGAAGAAAGATCAGCCGGACATATTGATGTAGAAAGTAAAAAAAACTAAAAACAAACCTCCTACCGTTCTCTCCCCCGTTTAACCTAACAACTCATAAATAAATAACATGTTTTTCCTTAATTCTCCCCCAGGAATCATGGAAATTACTTTCCTAGATCTTTCCTAAATGATAGACTTCCAAAACTGTCAAAATCTTATCAGATATGGAAAACAGAATTCATAATCCAGCTTGCACCAGGATTCTCAAAATGTAAAAGAACTTTCTGGGCTTAGTCACTTCATAAAAGTTGTAGTCTTGGATGTGTAGATGAATTTGGGCTTTTGAATCACCTGCTTTCAATATCTGAGGCTCCAGTTAAGCCCATTCGAAGACTCAATACTTAGCCAGGAAATCCTTCCGAGAATAGGATTCTAGGTCTAGTTTTATAACAACTAATGAGGGCCCAAACGAACTCGGATCCTCGTGCATAATACGTTCCTAGAAGGCTTGATTCGTCTACTTTACTTTTTCTAAAGAACACTTTTGCAATCGAGAAATCTGACTCCATGAAAAACCTGAAAAACGCAGCACTGGTCAGAATAACAAAAATCTGGAATTTCCTAATCTTTTCTCAATTATTTCATAAAGTCTATCCAAATATGACAAACTTACAAAATAAACTCTAATCAACTCAAGTAGGCATAAAACATAACAAAAACATAATATGGAAGGAATAAAAAAATATATAAATTACACTCTTATCAGTGCCTGTTTGAGACCATAAAAGGGCTTAGGTCAGCCGACACACATGATGAGGATGATGAGGACTCACAAAACCTTCAGGCTGAACCATATAGACTTTTTCTGTAAGATCACCATTCAAGAATGCATTATTGATGTCAACTTGTTGTACATCCCAGCCATAACTCACAGCCAAACTCAATATTACTCTAACAATAGGAGACTTCACCATGGGACTGAAAGTTTCAAGATAATCAATACCGAGGGTCGCTGAAATCCTTTGGCCACCAACCTGGCCTTAAACCACTGAATAGAGCCATTAGGATTGGTTTTGATTTTAAAAACCCATTTGCACCCAACTGGTTGTATCTCAGATGAAGCAGGAACAAGTTCCCAGGTTTTATTAGACAACAAAACATCATATTCTGACTGCATAGTAGCCTTCCAAGCAGGGTGTGTAAGTGCTTCAATTACATTCACTAGTTCTTTAGTGTCAAGAGAGGAAGAAGAAATAAGAGCAGTGTTGTGGGCCTTGGCTTTGGCTCTAGTAAGCATGGGATGGGTATTTGTGGCAAGAGGGATAGAAGATACAGCCAAAGGCAACTAAATTGTAAGGGGAACAGTATCAGAGGAGGTTTGAGAGGAAATTGTGACAGGTGACATCCAAGAATTGGAAAGTTCTGAGGCTACTTGGTCAACAAAGGCTCTAGTATTAGAGGATTGATCAGTAGCATATTGATCAGGTTGAGTAGTTGTATTAGGTGCTGATGGTGTAGGCAAGGATTCAATAGAAACTTTAGGACTAAAGACCGATTTAGAGGTGTACTGATCAGGTTCTGAAGATAAAGGAAAGACTACTGAAGGAACTGAATCCATTGGTTGTGATCTGTTGGGTGCCTGAATTGATTTTTTTACTAATCATATGTAGTAGGACATTTGGAATCTGAAGTAGCTGATGAAGGCTGAGATGGAGTATGTAGAATAGAGACAGGAATGGACCAACTTGGATGACCAGCAGCTGAAGGAGGTTGAGACTGAAAATTATTTTGGAGCTGCATTGAGGGGATAGTATTAACACTCTGTGAGTGGTGTTGAGGAGGAAATGAAGAATAATGTCCTCCATAAGCAGATTCAGGTGGCCTTGAAAGTCCTCTAGAATTGAAATTACTCATGATCAAGGAATTGCTCCCAGTAAAATTCACATCAAAACGATGGTAACAGTTTAAAGCCAAGTGTCCTGTCTTCCCACAAACTTGGCATATGAATCTATTTCTATTTCCTGCACGACCTCTGCCTCTGCCACTGGTATAATTTCTAGAAAATTGTGGTGAGAAAAACTGAGTTTGCTGGGGTGTGTATATAGGTGGGCTTTGATGATTTGGAAAATATGATGAATTAAGGCTTGGGGACCGTGATGTAGGAGAGGAATGGTTGTTGTATTGAGTAACACTACTCTAAAATTGAGAGGAAGTCTGTCCAGGCTGTAACTTCTTTGTATCATTTTCAGTAGAAAGATTAGCAATATTTGCTGAGCTACTATGAAAGTCAGCATGAACCATAGAATTCATTGCACTATTTGCCTTTTCCAACCGAAGTTCAAACTTTTGCAAAACAATTTGTGCTTCTTAAACTGCTATAGGATCAATTATGGATTCGAGTCCAGTGGTAACATTTACTACTACTGCATCATATTCGAAATCAAGTCCATCTAATATGTAGTTTATCAGTTCATCATCAGTAATAACAACACCACTTGTAGACAAAATTTCAACATATCCTTTCATTTTTAGAAAGTAGTCATGCATACTCATACTTTCTTTCTTTGTATTTTGCAAAAGACTTTTAACATGGAGTGTTTTTGCTCTAGACTCAATCAGAAATTCCTTTTCTAGAGTAAGCCATATATCATTACAGTTTGACATTTAGAGATTATAGAGAACATTGCCTCCGAAATTGAAGACAAGAGCCGGCTCATTAACAGTTTATCAGTTCTCTTCCAAAGAGTAAATTCTGAATTAGGTTTTGTTGTTACCTCTGAATTCGAGCTGTCCAATTGAACTCTAACGAATTGAGTAGGACACGATATTAATCCCGTTAGGTGTTCTTCAAGGTCATGAGCTCCAACGGCAAAGAGAATTTGCGACTTCCAGAAGCAGTGGTTATTGCGTGTCAGTTTTGGTGAAATAACAGGGAGTGTGGATGAAGCCATTGACGGATGATTGGAAAAATTGATTGAGTCGAAGACCTCTTTAGAGCTTGAATTCTTGTTTGATTTATCAAGAGAGGAGGGATTTGAAGAAGAATCAACCATTTCTGACGTTGGTCAGTGGCTCTGATACCAAGTTAGGGAAGAAGAGTTTTTAAAGGAAAGAAAAAGAAGAGATATCTAAGTAGAGTTTTCGAGGGTTCAATTTGAGAACTTTTCATTTGACAGTCAAAATATTACAAGGAAGCACTTATATAAAGTGAACAGTTGACAGAGTAAAACAAGCAGAGTAAAAACAGATTATGCTTGTTAAATAAGCTGAGTGAACTTAGCTCATTAAATCTACTCAGTCAAACCAAGTCAACATCTAAATCCTAACATAGCCCAATATTTAAGGTTTGGTTTTCTCTTCTTTATCCCCACTTGGAACTAGTACTTCTACCGAAACTGATAGAGACATAATTCACAGATTGTAATGCAACTATATATTTATAAATCGAATTTGATTTATTTTCGAATTGAAGCCAAAGTGAAGAATTAGTATAAGCAAAATGGACGAGCTCAATTATATGAAGTTTCATTGATGTAACTTCTCAACATGAAACAAGAAAAGCTTAGAATTAAAAAGGGGGCGGGCAAACAGATCACCAGCATTCATACAGTTTAATATCAACGCAAAGCCTAAAATATACTTCTCCCTCAAATGCATCAGTCATCAGAGTGGCAATTCCTCTAGCCATGAAGAAGTCACCAGTTCCTCCAATCACCGAAATATCCCTAGTCTTATTCATCAATGGATCAGCCCCGGCAAAGTTTATGCTACCCTTATGCCCAGTAGAATTGAACACAAATGAGAAACCAAGCCAAGATGTAAAAATATCCTTCTTGTCATATAAATAAAACCCTTGTGCACGTCCAACTGGGGTCGAATGCAGATTGTTGTCTAAGGTAATTGGGTCATCGAACACGACCACGTTGCCGAAATGGCTTTGTCCCGCTAAGATAGTCGTGTTGCCCCAAGCTGGTGCACCTACAATGGCTGAAGTTGCATTCTCTGCGTTCTTACCATTGTAAAGTATGTCATGGAAATAAAACACTAGCCTTTTACAAGGGTTACGAGCCCTAATTTTTTTGGTGGGTTCAACGGAGGATAATGAGAGTATGATGATGAGAAAGAGAGATGTTATGAGCCTTTTAGCTTCCATTGCTAGAAAGAGAAAAAGAATGAAATAGTGTAACAATTGGTGTGAGGCAATGGGGAATTTTATCACAAAATTAATACACTTATATAGGATTCCTCGAATTGTGGTTGCTAAAACTTTAACATACGATCAATAACTTTATAAAGCTTGGCTTTTAAGGCATATTATTGGCGAAGGGGTAGCCCTACATTGAATTAAGAACTATATATTATGTATTGAACCAACTTTTTTTCAGCTGTTTGCTTCATCTCTACTCTACGACTAGGCTAAGGATTTCCTGTAATGAAGATTACGTAACACAACTAAATGTTCTCATAGTTAGTTAAGAGTCCTTAATTAACTCTTTGTTTTTTTGTAGGTTTCATGGATTAAATAATTAGAAAGTGTCATCCAAACCAGAAGCTTTTAGTTTCATTTTGTCAATGATCATTTGCAGATTCAAAACCCTTTTGGATATGGATAATAATACTTGCATAGTGTTGCTATCAGAGGAATTTTCGTGATATAATATCATTTATTAAATAAAATTTTGATGTAAATATATAATCATAATGGAAATCTTTTAGGGGAATTTACTTAGAGTACACGTTTTTCTCAATAAATTTTCTCACTTTCTATTTCTAGTCTAGCTACACTTCATTATTGCCGATCCATTTTTTCCACAGAATATTATGTCCTGCTTTTTATTATTAACAATGAAATAACATTAGAAAGGTGAATCATGATTAACTAACTCGAGCATTAACTTATTGTGCGGTAAATCCCTAAAACATGGATTTACACCATATGTCATTATTTTTAAGTTATCTACAAGTTTGTTATTGTAATAGTATAAAAACATACTTTTTACTCAAATAAGAAATCTGATTTTATTCATACTTTGTAAACTATACTTGTGCAGCAAAAACATAAAAAAACAATACAAGAACAATAGAAATAAGATTTGCACTGAACATCCGAAACACTTTAAAAATCATTTTTCCGTGTTGTTGTTTGATCTATTATTCGTCCATCGATCTAGCATTAAAGTCACGGATTTTATACAAAATCCTATGTAGAATTCCACTAGAGATCTTACGTACTTCTCGTTGGCGTAAATCACAACACCGACGTGTAACTAATAATATATTTTGTTTTCAGCAGTATTAATGGGCAATCCATAGCTTATTTTTACAAAGGTCCAATCAGATTCTAAAAATTCTCGAGCTGGATATCATGACTTTTCCCCATATCCACCTAAAATATTACGGAAGCCATGATTTCCATGCATCATGTTCAATAACTGAAATTAACTTTCCTTTTTTCTTTCTACCAACTCAAGTCGTTGTAATACTTCTGAAAAGAAATCAGTGGCGATGCAAGACTTTAAGAAAGTGAGGGGCGTATTGAAGATGAAAGCTTAACGTCTTTTGTCTAAGAAAGGAACCGTTTACTCAACCTAACTACTCAACACAATTTCAAAGAAAATCGTGAGTTAGGTGGAAGATTCCATAGTTCCATTTAGTATATACATTAAGCTTGCCCAGATTGTCAAACTTTAAATATTTTCCCTTTTTCAAATTTTAATTGCCACTATACCAAATTACTAGGAAATTATGATATCGAATTTACAAATTAATTACATTAATCATCCGCAAATAATTTCAGCTTAACTTTTCTTCTACCACATTACTTGCTTGTTTATATAAATATGTTTGAATCAATCATAAAAAAATTTAATATAATTATAATTCCAAGATTGATATCCATGAGTTATCTGGCCACAGTGAAATAATCATGGTATACCAATCTCGGCAATATACATTAATAGAAACAAAATTAATTAGCTCAACTCAATATAAACAATATATTAAATTTTTTTTTTTCTTAAAAAAATATTTGGTTGGACCTATGAGATTATGATTCAAATTTCCCATCAAACTTGGGCTTCAATTTACATGGAGAAGTGATTATGGGCTGAAAAGCCCATTTCTATTGTTGCGTAATTGAGTTGCAAAGGATGTTGTTTGGGTGAATATCCACTTATTTCTAGCCGTTAAAAAAAAAAAAGTATATACATTCATAACCTTTTTTTATTACTTCCTCTCACAAACGCAAATATCAGCTCGTAATGATCAGCTCGCAATGAGTCTCACTTATCCAACAATGGGTTTCGTTTAATCAAATACGAACTATCACGTTAGCGTTAGTGAGAGAAGTTTATAAGAAGTATTTGTCAATATATTTTTATTAAAAAAAAAACATATATATATAGTAGGGGTTTACAATTTTTGTCTTGCCTCTGGTTACTTTGAAAAAAACCTAGTATACCCGCGTAAACAAAGCTTGCGTTTAGTTGTTGCAGCTTCTTATTCTGTAAACATAATTAACGACAATAAAATTAGACATCGTATCTCCTTTTACACTCTATTCATTTTCTTTTCCTCACTTGTATATATATATAATATATATATATATATATATATATAATATTATATATATATATAAATTCTCAATTCAGACATATTAAAGTTTTAACATGTAGACTAAAAACAAATAAGTAATCAGTGTTGGAATGGATTTTATATTTTATGAAGCTCACAACTTCTACACGTTAAAATTTTCAGAACATGATTATTAATTATATATAAATAAAATATCTGCTTAAAAAAAACATATAAAATTTAGTCCAGTCAAAATTGAAAATAGCTTTACAAGACAAGTCTATCTTTTGATAGGATATTCAGGAAGAGTCCATCGGGCCTCATTTGGTTTTTTCACTCAATATGCTTAGCTGTGTTTATACATAGAAATGGCCCGATGACTTTATAAAATTATTTTCCAGAAGAATCTCAGATATTAAAGAAAAACTAAAAAGTAGAGCTGCCTGTATCACCAAACAAATCCATTACACACAAAATTCTTAATTAGTCTACATTGTCAAGAAGCAGATATCTTTAGTTGTACATTTGAAACATATAATACAAATAAAATATAGACTCTGGAGGAAGACCAAACCAAATATTATTCAACTCAAAATATACAACATTTCACCCACAAATTTTTTCCACAAATCATGTTTATGCCTAATTAACTACCAACATTCATAAAATTTGATGTCAACACGCAAACGAAAGTAGACTTCACCTTCAATGCATCAGTCATTATAGTAGCGATGCCACGGTGCATGAAAAAATCTCCAGTGCCACTCACCACAGAAATTCTCTGGTTTTGACCATAAAGGATCGGCTCCAATGAAATTTATGGAGCCCTGGTGATGGGTGCTATTAAGGAGGAATGAAAATCCAGCCAAGCCGTGAAGGTTTTTTGGCTATCGTACATGTACATGCCGTGCTCT